GGCGATGTGCGCCGCCGCTGCAAGCCGGGGCGGCGCCGCCGCAACGGCATGGCGCAAGGCGGGCGCCGCGCGCCGCGCGGTTGCTGGCTGCGCGGTGAGCCGCACGGGCGCGTGCTGAGGCCGGCCGTCTGCTTAAGGTACGCAGGGGGCTGGCCCTGAGCCGCTCGTATGCGTGCGCCGCCGACTCCTGCAGCCGGACCGGAGTGCCCGGTGCGGCCACTTCAATTGAGTGCAGCAACGCAACGCCGCAGCCTTGCACAAGGCCTGCTGCTGCACCGCGATCTGGGTGGTGTGTGCGTTGGCCCGGCCCGAACGTCAAACTACCTTCCTCGACCCCCTCAAAAAGGGGAAAATCCTAGCAAGGGCCCCAGCCGGCCCCCAACACCCACATCTTTGTAGAGCTCCTGAAACTGCTCCAGGGCAGCTTCCGCCTCCGGCCCGAGCCCGGCCCCGCCATCCTCCGCGGCCCCAGCGCCTTCCCCGGCTGCCGCCCCTCCGCCGGCTGCGCCGGCGGCGGCCGGCGCCTTGGGCAGCAGGACCCCCAGGTCGGCGTCGCTGGGGAGGTGCGCCAGCTGCTCGGCAGCTGCCCGCTCGGCCGCGTCCTCGGGCTCCTTCAGGGCCTGTATAACAGGGCGGAGACAGTGGGCAGGCAGGTGGATGCAACTACAGGTATCTCTCAATGCGACGTTCAGAGCCCAGCCCTGAGCAGAAGCTTCAAGAGTGCAGAGGGGTGCAGCTTTGGTTTCGTTCGCGTTGCACCAACCGCAGCGGGAGACGGCCATGCTGCGAAGATGCCAGCACAGGGTGGCCCAGGGCACACGCTCAAGCATGGTGGAACCCAGGTCAATCAGATGCAAGTATAAACTCAACTGGGCTGCAGCTGCAGCCCAGCCAGCCGCAGGGGAGCCGCAGGGGGCGCACGATCGCTGCGCCGAGCGGCCATCCCTCCGTTCGGTGACGCCGCACGCCGCGCGCATGTGCACGGATCGGGCTGCCCATGCCCCACACCCACATCTTCGTCGTCAATGCGCAAAGCTTCAGCAGAGGTCACCAGCGCGGCGTCTGGGGGCCCTGGCATTGCTAGGAGCTTTGCCCGAGGAGAGCTGCTACGACGCGCAAGTCGGAAGGAGGTGGAAACGAATCTGAATAAGAGAGTTTTCAAATATGAACAGTGGTGATGGCGTTGCGCGTTTGGGTTCGGGATGTCCTCGCTGCCCCGCTGCTTCCTCTCAGTGTTTACACACCAATTTTGAAAGCACAGGGCCACGCCGCTTTGGTCCACATTGCTGTGAAAGGAAATAAGCTGCTCTTGTAAGCATAGTATGGCGGCATCCCAGCCATAGGCAGGTGTGGCGCCAAGTAGATCACTGGCTGATCCAGCTGCCCAGTGAGGGTCCCAATCAGCCATGGAGCGATCGCGTAGAAATGTGCAGAGTCGTACCTCCAAGCTTGCTGGTGTGCTCGCGGACCTCACTGCAGCAAGGGAGGGCACCGGGAGCAAGCGCGCGTCCACGTTTGAAGTAAAGCAGGAGGACGCTGTATTCGACGTTGTCGATGAGGAGCAGTACGAGCAGCTCGTGGCAAAGCGGCGCCTGGAGACAGGTAGGCGGTGCGGTGCAGCATTGCGCGTTGGCGTTCTCGGCGATGCGTTCAAAAATATTTGCAGCCGCCTGATGCCGCCGGGCTCGCTGATGCCCCAGGACAGCTCATGCAATGGCACCAAGCCCCTGTGACCGTGCAGCGGCTGCGCATAGGCCCCCGGCGCTGCCGTTGCCGGCAGGGCGCGTCGGCGCCCCACCCCCCCCCTTCGGGCCGCCCTCCACCCTGCCCATCTCGGGGCACCCTGCGAACCTCGTCGACCCGCGTCCCCCACCGCAGCTGAATTTGTTGAGGAGGACGACGGCGGCGACTTCATGGCTGACGCGGACGACACCCTGTTTGGGGCCCAGGAGGAGGGCGGCGACGGCGGCGACGAGGACGGCGGCGCCGCCGCCGGGCGCAAGCGCAAAGACGGCAAGGGCAAGGGTGAGCTTATCGATGAGAATCGGAAAGTGGAATTATGGTCCATGCTCGCGGCCGCGTGACCGCGCAGCCGCCGGCTCGTTCACAGATGCGCACCGCACACCCGCCCCGCAAGTCCCGCCTTCCTAGCTCGCGTCACCCACCACCTCGGCCGCCGCGCGCGAATGCGACTCCGTTCTGCCCAGACGGCAACCCCTCCAAGAAGAAGGCGGGCGCCCCTGAGAAGGACCCCAAGGCGCGCGACCGCATGCAGGCCATGTTTGCCAAGGCCGCGGGTGAGAGGGGGGGAAGGGGGGTTAGGGCGACGGCCCTGGTGCTCGATGGCGTTTCTCAACCCGCGTGCGCTCAGCATTCCCGTTCGCACGGCGCTCCCTTGGAAGTGTAGTGTTGCATAAACTTCATTCCAGTTCATTGCCGGCCGCTCCACTCAATAGATTGAACCAACCGCCCACGCCCCTGTGCCCGCGCCCCTGCCTGCCCCTCGCCATCCTGCCTGTCCCAGCACGCGGCGCCGCCGCGGCGGCGGGGCCGCGGCCGGGGGACGCGTGCACCGATGAGCTATTGGACGACATTCTGCAGGGCCTGGGGGGAGAGAAGGCGGCGCCGGCGCCGAGGGCTGGTGCGCACACGCGGAGCGCGGGGCTCTCAGAGGGCCGGCGGATATGCGGCGGCTGCGTGTGTGTGTATGTGTGTGTTTGTATGTGTGTGTGGGTGTGTGGGTGTGTGGGGGTGCGCGTGCAGGTTGGTGACGTGGGAGTGTGCGGGGGAGGAGCAGGGTGGCGCGTCGTTGCTGCAGCCGGCGCCAGCACCATGAGACGGGCCGCAGCGCGCGTCAGTCGGAGCGTGCCACTGACATACGCGCGCGCATCCCTCACCCTTGGTGGTTGCGCGCAGCCGCTGCCGGCGCCGGCGGCAACCCCTTCCTGCGCCAGACCGCCGCGCGCACCCAGGCGGTCGCGCCGGCCGCACCGGCGCCCGGCGCGCTCGGCGGGCCGCCGGCGGCGGCGCGGCCGCAGATCACCAAAACGTTCACGCGGCAGCCGGGCGGGCGCGGTGGCGGGGGTGCCGGGGGTGGCGCGGCTGCGGCGGCGCCGCGGATCAAGCAGGAGCCGGTGCAGCAGCGGCAGCAGCAGCAGCAGCAGCAGCAGCAGCAGCAGCAGCAGCAGCAGCAGGCGGATCCGATGGATGTGGAGGACTTTGGGGGTGGCGCCTACGACGAGCCGGAGCCCGCGCCCGCGCCCCCACCTGCCGCTGGCGGCGATGGCGGCTTCTCCTTCGACACGCCAGGTGCGCGCCGCGCGGCCCTCTTGCTTGGCGTGGTGGGCCAGCTGCTGGGCATCCTCCGGTATGGCCTGCATCGGCCTTACATATGTCTGGTGGCGGGTCGTATTGAGGATTGTGAGCTGGTCCGCCTGCAAATTGATCCCGCCTCAACCCTGTGCACAGGCAAGGGCCTGAAACCCGAGCCGATGGGGTCGCCCACGCCCCTCGGGAAGGGCCGCGCCGTGGGCCCCAGCGGCGGCGCCGCCCCCGCCGCCCCTGCCGCCGCCGCGACTAAGGGCGAGGAGGGCGCCTCGCCGCAGCGTGGCCCCGCCGCCGCGGACGGCGTGGCGGCCAACCGCTCGCGGCTGTTCGCCGACTCGCCGGCGCCGGCGGCTGATGCGGCGGCCGCCGCGGCGCACGGGTGGCAGGAGGTGTTTGACCGACAAGTCCCAGGCGACGACGGCCTTAAGGACGCTGGCGATGCGGAGGCCGGCGTCGGCGGAGGCGGCGACGCGGCGGAGGCGGCGGCGGGCCCGCAGTCGCCGGCCGCG